TAACATACATGAAATTACCCCGTAGCAGATCTATACAGGTGGAGCAAGGGAAGGGGGAGGGTTTCTGAAACGCGTTGCAACTGCTAATGTTAGCACTAGCTGAGCATTTGAGCAGCAAGCTCATTGGTTGCTGATGCAAAAAGAAACCAATAAGCTGCGCCATGTGAATGATGATATTATTATATGTTAGAAATCGGCCTGCACCATCTAGAGTTCCGTGACAGAACTTTGTATTTTGTGTCACTATTGCTGCAAAAATGACACACTCCACCTTTAAACAAATACATTTGTTCAAGTGTACGGTTTGAGAACCATGCAGAGCAGATCCTTTCTACAGGTAGTTATATTAGTCCAGCACGGTGTGTTTATTAGAGAAACTGCAGGATATTTGTTAATGATGCAGCATTCGCGGACAGTAAAGGGGCAATAGGAGCTGAGCTCTTACTCCTTGGCCAGGTGCATGCTGGTGGGTCTGGCTCCGATGGGAATGCCATGCTTGTGCAGCGCTGCGTGTCCTTGTTATAGGAGTCAAAGTCAAACACATTCCTCACAACGTTGGCCAGGCCCTCATCCGGAAATTTCTGTAAACAAAAGGAAAGAGGTGAGCCACAAGAAAAAAGTCTTTAGTCGTAATGAGGCATTTTAAGAGCACTCTGATCTTATGTTATCAATCACTACCAGCTAAACATCCTACAGGAGAAATAGATAAAACATGCAAGACTTTTAATTGGCCACAACACACAGGATGTTACATTGGAATGAGGAATTTAATGAACTGCAGTTTAAAATAAATTCAAATTCAAAATTATATCACTGTCAACACTACCTCTGTTGGCTTTTAAGTCTTACAAAACTACAGATGATATACGGCCCAGAAAATGACCTGCTACCCACAAACAGAAGCTTTAACAAAGAAAATAATCCTCCCAGAAAGACTCATCATTAAGCCAAAATCACATTTAACAGGTGGTAAAACAAGCTAGTTGTGAAATTGGCAGCTTTCCTGAAACACTGGTCGAAATCACGTTCGATCAGATTAAATAGTCTGCCTGTTACGGACTCAACAAAATCAAATTCAACAAAAAGTGACCGTGCAGCCACCTGTGAGCAGAAAATCCATAGGGTTTCATTTGCCCAGGCTGACCTGTGCAATGCAGCTCATTGACTGTGATCTCCAGTGAGCGAGGGGCAGTTACGTGTGTTCATTAAAATGCTTTCAGCCTGGCGACAGACTTCAAAGAAATCTTTTCCACATCTTGTGCATGTTTATGACAGGACAGGAGTAGAGCTGGGAGATACAGCTAAAAATATCTAGATATTTTTCAGCATTTTGACGATATTCAATACATCTCAATTCATGCATTTGATCTGGTTTGAAACGGTTATATTTCTTAATCAGGAACCATCACTTCGAGGAAAACCCTAGTTGATTCACAACGTTAATGCAAATTTAAATGTAAGAAATAAATGTAGTTCACTTTCACTTCAGTTTTCTTTTATTTGCACCAGTTTAACAATTTTGCTAGAAGCTAATTTTTTACTAGGCACAAATGAATAGATTCAGCATTGATTCTGATTCACAAAAATAAATACAGTGAATCAAACTGTGATAAATAATCTCTAATGCTGTTGTAGTTGATAAAGTTTAAATGAGAGACATGTTTTCGTATTAAAACATCTCTGCCTAAACCAGTGGTTTTCAACCAGGGTTTCCATGGTCCTGGATATATAAGGTAGCCTGATTTTAAAAGTGTTTTCCACTCCTAGAAAAGTCATGTAAAAAATAATACAATCTTAAAAAGCCACAGGCATTCTTAGAATGAATATACATTTTCTAGTTATGCCAAGCTCTAAAATAAGTATTGGGAAGAATAAAATTTAAGTGTGAGTCATTTAAAAATATATATATTTTATTAACTAAATCCTTATTCAGTAAATCACAGTGACTTGAAAAGTCATGTAAATTCACTGGTTAAGAAGAGTGGGATCCCTGAAGAACATTAAACTCCTAAAACATCTGAAATCGTGAAATGATATTATTTTAATTGTAATAATAATAATTTTTGTTACTTTTTTAATTTACAGAAACTAGGAATGACCTCAAGATTGACCTCAAAACAAAAAACAAAACTAAAAGGCTAGGGAGTTGCCTGTTGCTTAATATTGTTGGAGACAACGGGG